CAATATCAAGAGGATTCACATGTGATTCCATAAATTCATTAGAGAATTCATTAATTTTCTTAAAAATGTATATCAAGCAAATAAGTATTAAATACAATATCAACAAGCATGAGGAATATATTAAAATCATACATTTAAGAAAAAAAAATGTATACTCAATTCAAGCTCACATATATCAACTAAAATTGATATATTCAAGATATATCAATAAAGCATATACCAATATCCATTAAGCACTCAATGTTTAACAAGAATAGGCAACCGATTTCATATTCACTTAAAATAAAAGTTTAGAGGTTACCCTTATCCATTGTGTGTATATAGTATTCAATCTTCAATATCATATTGTAGCCCCTTATTTTAGCATACCTACAAGAGACAATTTCATTAGATTTTTGGTATCCAAATTACTTTGGGTCCTTGAAAGTTAGTCACCAAGTCTCTTATTCCTTTAGGAACCTATACTTGTTTAATTCTAAATGAGATTTTTCTTCTAATAGGACAAGTAGGTGAAGTATGACTATGAGAATGATAAAAATTGTATTTAATTATTTTAGTACTTAAATTATTGACACTTTTATGTTTTTCATTCATTAACTCATCAAATTTTTTTTTTAAATCAAAATTTTCTTTTTCTAAAAATTCATTTATACTTTAATAGGCTTCCAAATTCATTTTCAATTTTTCATTTTGTTTTTCCAAATCATTCTTTGTATTCATTAAAAGTTCATTTTCAACTTTTAATTTTGAACTCATTTTCTTATGTTTCAAGTACATATTTTCAAACTCAATTACTAAATCATTGTAAGTATCTTGTAACTAATCAAAAGTATAAGAGTTTAAATTACAAAAGTTAGAGGTTACCTCTGATTTTTCAATAGCCATGAGACATAATGCATGTTATTGAAAATTTATCTTTTATTTAGCTCATCAAACTTTGTCCATATCTTATTTGAAGTGGAGCAATTTGAGACCAAGTTGAAGTTGTGGGAGTTAGAAGCTCATAGAGTAAGCACTTGACCTTTGCATCATCCACTATTTGCCTTAAATAATTTGCATCATTTGAAAGAGTTTTAAGCCTTTTTTCTATCATTAACCAAGCTCCAAAATTTTGTGACATAATGAACATTTTTCTCATTTTTTACTCACAAAATTCAAAATTTTTTATCATGGGAGCTTTGAAGACTTCCTCACCATCTTTGAACCTAAATTAAGTCATAAGATCTTTACTTAAGGTAGTTAAACCTACAAAAAAGATCAAAGTTTTTATACAAATTAATAGCTTTTTAGGTGAGATGGTGATTTAAGAAGGGATGAATTTGATTTCTTCAAATTCTTTCCTAAAAATAGATTTCAATATAATTCATTAGAAGATTAAAACCAATATCAAAATATAATGCACTTAACAATAAAATCAATGAACTTGAAGCAAATATAAACTATAATCAAAGTAAAGAGATAGAGATAGAGAAATCAAAAACAAAGATTTATAGATGTTCGATTCTTCTTCATCACACTAAGGCTTCAATCCACTAATCTTAAATTGAGAAAACAACCCTATCTTTTTCTTCATAAGGCTTAAGATAGAAATCTCTACTTTTACACAATCAAGAGGATACCATATCTTTTACTTACAAAATAACCCAAATGATTTTTGTAAACTAAAATACCTCTCAAGGTTGAGTGTAATGAAGTAAAAAAAAAAATGGTGAATGACACACAATAATATTTTGGATACAAGAAATACAAAAAAAATTGAATTTAAGCTTTAATACTTTTAATTTCTTTAAGAGAATGAAAATATGACTTATTTAATCTTGTTCTCTTAATTCATTAACCTTCTTGGAGTGTTGGAATGCCTAATTTATATAGAAATTGAGGAAATAACCATTGGGAATGCTTGAGAAATGAAAAACCATGTTTTCCTCCTTTAAAACTAGCCGTTAGAGCTTGTTTTGGGATGAAGAGATTGATTGGTATTGATAAGAGATCAATTGGTTCTTGAATTTCACTTAATTTTTTATTGTTACAGCAAAGGGGATCGATTGATTTTGGTACCCAATCGATTGGGTTAGTGAGATTTTGGATACTGAATTATTTTGGATGAACAGTGCCGTTGGTTGTTTCTTGTTTTGTACTATACTTACTAATTGATCATATCTTGAGTTATACAACTCTAAATCAAAAACTGTGTGAAGATTTAGAAACTAGACTTAAAAGATTTTCTATCAATATAAAATTAATCATCTAATTTATTGTATTCGAATTATAGTGAATTTTCAAATCTATCCCTTGTATAATATTTAGACAACTACATAATGTCGAGTAAAAATTTAAAATATTTTCTTAGAAAATTTGGATTTTGATTTTATTTGATCCATTAGAAAGCAGACTTAAAGAGCTTTTCAATCATATAAAATAAAGCAAGTTTAACATTAAAAAACTTTGTTATTGTAAAATAACTTTCTTGAGTTAATCTATTTCTCCAAACAAATATTATCAAAATTATATTGAGTCAAAAATGAATAAATTCACTTTAAAAACAACAATTGAACTTTCATTTAAGCTTAAATAAATAATGTTTAAAAATAGTTTTGATTTGAGAAATAAGAAAACATAATGAAAAGTTTGTTTAAACTTTGAAAATCATATTATTTATTTAGTACCAAAATAATAAAACTTAATAACATATACTAAATAAATCTTTTTTAAAATCTAAATCAAGCTTATTTAACTTAATGTTTTGTCATTTCAAACAAAGATTAATTCAAGACTAACACACATCCTCATTATTTTTTTCTATTATAACAAAAAAAAAACTAAAATTTTCTATTAAAAATTATTTTTCTTGTTTCAAAATGATATCTTTTTTTTTGTATTAATCAATTACAAAGTTATGGTCTATTTGAATGGATGGTGAGATTGGTATTAAGGAGATTAAAAATAGTGATAACGATGAAATTAATTATTGTAACAATGAAACTAGGTACTATAATGGTGAGATTAAAATCAATAGTGAGATATATATTTATATATAAATACAACAATAGTAATAAGATAAAAAGTAGTGAAAAGAAAAAATTAGACATTATAGACATTAGATTAAAATTAGTATATAATGAATTTTATAATATATTTTGTATTTATAAAGTTAATAAATAGTTGAAATTTAATAAAATTATTTTTATATAATTGTATATCTATTTTTATTTATTTTATTTAATAAATAAGTTGATTATATATTTTATAAATTATTCTCATATATTTTTTACTTTTATTTAACATTTATCATATTAAAATTTGTTCAAAATAATATTAATAGTATTATTTTATATTTAAAATTTTAAGTTGAGATATCATATATATAATATGAAAATAAATCTAATTTATTTAAATATTTAAATATTTATATTAATAAATATGTATTTTATGTACGCTAAATCAAACTACATAGTTTTTATATGTTGCTGTATAAACATAAAGTATATGTTGCTTTATAAACATAAAGTAAGCCTATTTTCTTTCATTCTCGCCTTTTTCGTTTCTTCCCCTCCCCCTTTCTTAACCAAAGCCTCACACTGCCCGACATCATTAACCATTCCATTCTCCCTTTTCTTTTTCATTTCTTCCTCTCCCCCATGCTGCCATACGTCATCAGCCTTTATCTTCTTCTTTGTTATTTTCTTTCAGCTTTAGATATTTTTCATCACCCTTAAATAAAAAATCAAAGCTTTTTTTTATTCTTCAATGTTTTTTTTTTTTTTTTTCTGATGTTCAATAAAAAATGAGTGAATATCAGCCATCTTTCTGTTTCTCCGTTCTTCCTTCATCGTACTTTTTTTGGGAGGGGGGGGGGGGACTTTCTATACTCGATTGTTAGTTGAAAGGTAAAAAAGGATACGAGATACAGTGAAGCTCACCGAAACTTAAGAGGCTAGTCAGCCAACGGAGGAATAGAACAGTAAAAATGCTATAATTAGGAGTGATCGTAATTTAATTTTAACCAAATTAATCAAGATTTAATTTAATTTATCGATTAATTATTAAATTAATTTTGATCAATTATAAAAAATGATTGAAAAAAATTTTGATTTTTGATTAATTCAATTCGAAAATTAAATTAACTAAAATTTTAATTGAAATATAATAAAATTTATATATAAAACTAAAAATATATAAAATTGTGTATTTTATTTCAAGTTATTGAAATTTTTAATTTAACATTTTAATGTTTGAATATTTTTGTTGAATAATTTTATTTAATTTGTTTAACATATTAAAAATTAAAATTTTAAAATATAATTTAATTTAATATATTTTATTATTTGATTAATTAAAAAAATTAATCGAATTAACTTAATTAATTTTAATAAATTAATTTTTAAAATTAAAAAATTTAATTCAATTAATATAAATAATTTAATTTAATTAATTTAATTTTAAGTAATATAATTTAAAATTAATCAAATTGATCGAATGAATATATCTAACTCTAATTGTGCCGCACCATTTATAGTCAATCGAAGCATCACGATATGATTGAGTAAAAAGTACTTCAATCGTGTTGTACCACGGCTTCAGTTGAATCCAAGCAAGATTTTAATCAACTAGTAAGGCATTGAAAAAAAAAGAAAAAAAAAACTAGTTAGGCTTTGCAAATTCAAATATACATTCTATCATGGAAGTTTAAATTTTCTTTTCAACAAATTAAACTTCTTTTTATGTTTGATTTTTCATAATTTACATTGACAATTAAATTTTAATTTTAAATTGAAAACTTAAAATTTTTATAACAAAAAAGGAATGAACGAGCTTGAAATATTTCTATTTTTTAACACGAAGAAGAAAGTAAAACGAAACCAGAAAAAAAAAAAGTGAGTTTTGAATTTTTTTTATACAAATTCTTTTTTTTTTTATATATAAATATCATTTTTATAATATTAAAACAAAGCAGAGAAACATAGTTTTGAGATATTTGATGAAAGAAAAAAGTGAACAAATTACAGAATCCACATGTCATGCAGGATGGAGCGAGTGACGAACGTGGACACTCCAAAGCCTCTTCTTGCTACTCTTTCATAGCAATCAGCCGCTCAAAATCAAACCACAAAAATCAATCCATCTTCCCCTGATGAACGGTTCAGATTCCCTCTATAATTTCTTCATTTTATTAAAAAAAAAAACAAAGGAATGTCAACAGTTTGACTGTTTGAGAATCTGTTTTATAAGTAGTTAAGCAATGGCCGTTTACAGTGTAAGCATAGGAACATATATTCCTTGGACAACCCAATTCTGTTTCAGTCCCAAATCCAAGGCTTTTGGTGTTCTTAACAAACCCAGAAAAGTTCCCTTCTCAGTTCGATCAATGGGTTCTTCTGCGTCTTCCCAGAGAATGGATTCTTCTGCTTCTTCCCAGAGACCCGACAACGTTCAAGGTATTTTCTTTTATTTGGATATGATCAGAAATTTGGTGAACTGATTATTGTGACTAGGTTAATTATTGGAGGTTCAATTGTTTTTCCTTCTTTTTTACCTTTTCCTGTTTCCTAGTTTACCTGTTAGATGTGATTTTTTTTTTTTTTTACTAAAATTTCTCAGGGATGATTATGATGTATAAGCAACTATTAGGAGAACTGTGAGTAGACCTCACAATTCGTGAATTTGTATCTCCATTTCGTGTCAAATAAATGTAAAACAAAAAAATTGCCACATACAATTTGTGTCCAAACGCAAACATCAAGTATATTTTTTAGTTTTTGTCAATTCATATATGATTTTGGTGAAAATTTTAAATCATGACACTTTTATGTTTTTACAGTATGGTTTTCATGTCGTGTCCCCTTGTGCTTAAAATTGTTAGGTCTAACTGTGAGTCCTAGAAGGTTTAATTGTTCATTTTGGTTGAGTATGCCTTCAATCTATAGGTCAAAAATAATATCAGTGTTCATTTTTAGTTCAGAGTTAACCCTGGCTGATATTAAGGTTTTCTATTAGTACCTTTACTTGGTGTGGATGTTCCACAAAGAAGCATTTGGTGTGGCTGCATATGTCTCTAGCATCGTTGATTTTGGCTGTCCAGAGTATTGTTGTAGTGATAGTGGTTTTTTTATGCCTCTAGAAGTTTTGGGAATTGGAATTGTTCTTTTGTTGTTTGGCTTGAAAGATATATTCGTGAGAAAACATAATTTTGAAGTATAAAATATATGTTTGTTTCCTTTAAAATGAATCTATACTAGGCAACACCGTGACAGGAAGAGGCTGGATTATGTCGGAGTGCAGTACACTACTTAGCTAATCTGTTGATATGACGGGATAGGAGCCAATCTTGGAGTTTCTCAGCTGACCACCAATCTATCTATTGCCAAGAATTTGTGCCACTCCCATTGCTTAGAGGTCTTTTAAGTAAAAGCTTTTCCTCTGCTGGTTTCTGCTATCCTTTTGAAAGCTTTCATAACACCAATGATAACTTCCTTGTCAAATTGGAACTCTTCTAGAACTCCTCAAGGTGCTGTTGTTTCAAAAAAACAATCGTAGTAGACAGATGAGAAGAAGCAACTCGATAGATATATGCTGAGGGATATGGAGATCTTAATGGACCTTATTAAGTTAAGAAACAATTTTAACACATTGAGAAATTTTCCAATAGGGAAAGCCAGAAGAACTGGTCTCATATATTGTGATCATTATAATATTCAGTTGTTATTGTTATCACATTACTGTTGTTATTTGACAATATTTTTAACTTTGTGATCTATATAAATAACTTTAATGCATAATAGTAATTGAATCTCACAAATCCTTACAAAGGTAAAATTTGATAAAGCATCTTCTTTTCCCTGGTTTAAGTTGAACTTGAGGCCTTGACCTGCTCCATCTGACCTATTACAGCTCATCCTCAAGTCAAGGTGGTATTGTTGTTGTTTTTTTGTTTTTCTGAATAGTACTTACAGTTTGAGGTTTATCAAAGCACATCCATTTCCTTCTTGGTTTCAGTTCAACCTGAGTCCTAATCCCACCTACCTGATCTAATTAGTAGCTGAGAATGTTAGAGCATAACTTAGTTTTTCTAACTTCATCAGGATTCAGGACACATTATTTGGTAAATCTTATACATGTCATCATCAGTTTTGTACCTAAAATCCTACTTGCAATCTAGTTTCTCCTCTTTTTCTAGTGTAAAGGATGATTTCCTGATGCCATCATCAGATTTCAGAATTTAATTCCTGGCAAATGAAGGACAAAAAGACACAAACTTCTTTGAATGGATATTTAGCTGCAAGGAAATTTTCCACATGATCATACAACATTGCAACAGTTCTTTTTTTTTTTTGTCTAATCTTTTATAAATCTTCAAGGATGAAACAGCTAATATAATCTTAAATCACCTTTTAGGGGCTTATTGGGATGAATGCATGTTCTTATTCTTTGCTGTCAAAACCCTGCTTTTCTATTTTTCTTTTCTTATAAATATCTGAATTGGATATGGGCCATCAGATATTGATTGTCTGTCCTGTACAGAGGCTGGTGCAGTTGACTATGCTTCTTTAAGTAATGAAGAATGGAAGAAGAAGCTTACACCTGAACAATTTTACATTACTCGACAAAAAGGGACTGAAGGAGCTTTCACTGGGTATGTTCTGTCTGTTCATAGAATCTGTACTGCTTTTCAGGTGCAACTTCTTCAATGCTTTTTCGTTTGTAAAACAATGTTTTTAATTATTTTTTGAAAAATTCCACTAATCTGACAGATTATGGTTTCTGCATATTTTCTTTTCTAAGCTACCAAGGGTTTCCTGTAGTACTAATCTATTGCCAGGCTTTTTTCTTTGTCTCCTAATAGAAGTTTTATTTACTTGTTCCGCCTATGCAGGTCTCCTAATTTTAAATAGAACATGTATGTCAGAATCTTATTTCTCCTACTTTTGGATGAATGACTTCAATGTTTTAATGATATCAATTCTTCTGCAAACACTATGATATTGTGGAGACAAATGCATGTGAGCATTTTTCGTATTGTTGGTGCAAATGAATTGGTGACCTAGAAAGTTTGTTTATCCAAATGTCATCTCTTCTGAATATGAAGATTAAATGATATGCAATTGAGCTGACTTGGTTATTAAGCTGTTTCTGATGTTAATAGCGATTCATACTTTGAAAGAAATTGTGGAAGTCAGACTATTCATACTTTGGAAGAAATTGAGGAAGTCAGACTACATATAAGTACCATTAAGATACCATGCATGAGACAGCTCCTAATTTCTTGCCACCTAAAACTGGTGAAAGTGATTCCCCAGTGAACAAACTTAAGAAAATAATTAGCAGAGGAAATAATTATTGTTTTTTTTTTCAATTGTGGACATGACTCATTTTTCGAAGTTTTATAAGTTGCAATTTGAAATAATCTTCTGTTCTTACTTAATAGGTTTCATTTGGTTATTACTTATGATATTTACTTTTTAGTAAGAGTTATAAAATAAAAACACACATTATTAAGCAAAATCATATTTGATTAAAACAAATGGCTAAGATGTAAAACCGATAAAAATGTAATAAGTTCCATATAAGAGTAAAATTAACCATTTTCTTATACATGAAAGTTGAATTTTTATTTCTTATGCCTTTAGTAAATTGTTTGGGATCAATTATTTAGAGTGATGCTGAGATAGAAAAGGATGTAAATCATAGCATTCAAGTAAGATGGGTGAGGTAGTGAAGTGCGTCTGATGTTTTGTGTGATTGCAACATGCCTTTAAAGTTAAAGTTGAAGTTGTATGAAACAACTGTAAGGCCTGCATCGTTATATGAGACTAAGTGTTGGGCCGTTAAGAAATAACACGAGAAGAAAATGAGCGTAGTTGAGATGAGGATGTTTAGATGAATGTGTGATAAGATTAGAAGAGACAAAATTGGAAATAAAGATATTCGAAGAAAATTAGGAGTAGTCCGAATTAAGGAAAAAATGAGATAGTCGTTTGACATGGTTTGAAAATGTGAAATGTAGACCTATCTGTGCACTAGTTAGGAGAAATAAGCTTTTGTCTTTAGGAGAGACCAAAGCTTCGAGGGGTAGAACATGAAAGAAGTGGATGCAAGTAATTAGAAATAATATGAGGGTTAAGAAAGTAGATGAAAATGTTGTTTCTGATAGAAATGAGTGGCGTAAGAAGATTCAAAATTATAACCTAACATGATTTCTTTTTTGGCCTTTCATACAACCGACCCCAAAGTTATGGGATATAAAGCTTAATTTGTTGTTGCTGTTGTATTTCTTCAATAAATTGTTCGCTTTTGTGTCCAATACATCCTTTTTAACATTTTGTTCCTGGAAACAAAAATTGATGACCAAAACTGGTGGCAAAATGGAGCCAAATTTGTTTTTGGCCTTCCAAAAGTTTTTCACTTTTAGCAAGGGATTTCAATCATGTTAACCAATGGATCAATTTACAATGCATCTCTGGAGATGTCATATTGTGTCATGTAGCTGGCAGTGAATATCTAAAAGGGGGTTTGTTATGGATAGAGATGTAAATAGCCTTGAACATATAACCATTGTGTAATGTGGCCTTTGAACTAAAACATTGTTCAGTTTGGTATCTAAACCTTAAAAATTTTGTGCAATTTGATTGGATTAATCAATTTGTAAGTAGATAGACAGGTTTGTTAACTACAGAACATATGAAGCATATTTTATTTAACACACATGTAAGCATTTGCATGGCATGTGAACTGGCCGTCTGGATCAAAAACATATTCACATGCGTGATGGATTTGTTCAGGCAATAAAATATCTGCGTGAGCTCCAATTGCACTCATACCACCTAACACCCGGTATGTAATTTCTTTTAGTTCGAGTATCAATAGGAATAACAGAAGGGATTCCAAGTGCTGGGATTCAAACTCCAGACCTTGGATGCCACCTCTTAAGGGTGGCTAAATGATCTAACTGAGCTAAACTCCAAGTTCTGTTGTTAGCAATTCTGTTACACCCTTTGTGCACCTAACCACGTTGCTCAGTGTTTTGAAATCTAGGTATCATATTGAATTATTCTTTTTTCATTTTTAAGTATCATGTTATTGTTGATTATTAGTGTAGGGGTCATTTATGGCTTTATCTCTTTTGTTACGGCATGAAACCTGCCAGGGTAGTTGCTGCAATGCATGAATTGAACCTGAATCCTGCCAAGTCTCATTCTAATGAACCTGCATTATTAACACTTAGTATCAAACATATATAACTCATTTCTATCGGAGTTGCTAAAACACTTGGTGGGCATCACATGATAGTTTTCAGTCCTTATCTGCATTGAACTAACAACTATTGGTGTTATATTCACCTTTTTTATGTGCAGAGAATACTGGAAGACAAAAACACCTGGAACTTATCATTGCATATGTTGTGACACGCCACTTTTCGAGTAAGTCTTCTGGTTTTGTTAGAAATTACTAAGGACTAAAATCAATTGAATCTATAACTTGCAAACACTTATCAACCACAATCCTCTACTCTAGATCATCGACTAAATTTGATAGCGGAACTGGTTGGCCATCATATTATCAGCCTATAGGAAAGAATGTGAATTCAAAGTTAGATCTGTCAATAATTTTTATGCCTCGCCAAGAAGTTCTTTGCGCTGCTTGTGGTGCTCATCTGGGCCATGTCTTTAATGATGGTCCTCCACCTACGGGAAAGCGTTACTGTATCAATAGGTAAAACATTTTCTTTTAATGCCAGGTTGCATCTAATATTATGCAATTCATTTTTTATGGATTTCATCTGAACTATGGCTATTTTGCAGTGCTTCTCTGAAGCTGAAACCCAAATAAAAAACAGTACTAAGTTGCAGTTGCAAAGCAGATGAGACACTTGTGATTGAGAAAACTGAAACACTATTAGGTTTATTGGCTTTGGTGTATCGTATTCAATTAATAAATAGCATGCAATAGCAAATCGTTTTTATTTTGTACTATTCATGTAAACATAATGGCTCAAAGGCATGATAAGATGGGAATATCTGATTCTTCTGGTCAAAATATGCAATTAGTGAACTCATAGTTTAGTTCAATAGGTGATGTACGTACAATCAAGGTGATATACGGTAGATGTGGATATTCAAATATTAATACTTACAGTTCTTTCTTCTTTGCTCAAGATGCAATTTTTTTTTTTTTTAATTTGTAGAAAAGATGCAACTAATCCCTAATTGAGTATGAATCGGGTATCCGTGCTCTTAAAATATGTTAATGTGGGTTCAATTGTCAACACCGGTAGTTTCCTACAAAAGTTGTTAATGCGCCACTCGGTGGAATTTTTCAAATTTTCTTATTTTTACAAAAATATGACTTGGATTTTTCTCGCCAAGTGGCAGCCGCCTACTTTGGTGATATGCCATTGTGGCAGTTGATCCAAACAATTGTGAGCGCTTGATGCAAAAAATACTTTTCTTTTTTCAGAAAAAAATAATATTAATGAATTAATAAAAAATAAACTTTTTTTTTATTTTTTATTTTTCCTCTTCTCCTTTTCTCTCACCCCGTTCCCAGCTCGTCTCCTACCTACTTCAGCTAGTGGGCGCCAGATCAACACCTGACGGCTACTCTCTGAAATGAATATTTAATGGCCACATAAACTTACCATTTAAAAATAAAATCCTAATTAGCAGTATAGAAACCTTAGAAAAAAACACATTAAGTTTTACAAAAACAAGTTATTGAATACCAAATTTCTTGTACTGGCAATTTTCTTTGAGAACAGGCAATTATATAACCGAATAAGTATTAAAGACGTGATTTATCTTTAAAAGAGCAATAACTGGCTTCTAAAAAAATCATTAAGATCTCATTTGGTTGTTATTTAACAACAACAATGCTAGCTAGAGGAAAATAACAAGTGTTCATGGCTTGAATAGAATGAAATCTCAAAATGTTTGTTTAAAATTTGATTTAGTTCATCGTTTAAATCTCATTCAATTTAAATTTATTATTAAGATATTAAAAAATATTTTAATATTTTAAAATATATTTTTTAATTTGTGCAAAACATATTTTTGAATTAAAATTTAAAAAACCAATTATTTAATAAAAAATAATTTCACAATTTGAATTATATGAGGTTTGAACTCGAAAATTTTTATCCAAAACTCAATCCTAACTGAAGTTAAGTCTGCAAACTTGGAAGGCAATCCAACCTATTAACAGGTCAAACATAACTTGAGTTTTGTTATCATTTTTAAAAAGATTGAAGCTCAATTTTTAAATTGAAAACATCTTAAATATATAAATATAACAAAGGGCACTCTATTTCTTAATTGATTTGAAATTACATATGGTATCAAAGCAAAGGTATCAAAACCAAACGCTCTCTTTATTTTATCCCTGTCATAGGTTTATTATTTCTATACGTAAAGTTTTGTTATAAGTTATTGTTTCTACATTTGTAGGGAATTATTATAGTACATAAAAAAAGTCACCTTAATTAAAATTTAAATATCTTAAATATATAAATATAATAAAAATTATTTTGTCTATTATTAATTGATTTTATATTGAAGGTTATTAGCGGTATTTTATAGTTATAAAGGCAATATAGACTTTTTATTTCAGAAAGTGACTCATCGACCAAATAAGATCAATTTTGTTATTTTGATCTAAATTGACATGTCGAATTGACCTGAGTTTCGAGTCCACATCAATTTGGCCACCTTAATCTACCCCTTAAAGGAATATGAATATGCTGACTTGTCACCCCCTAATTTAGCTTGAGACTACCGGATCAAGTTGGGTTAGCTACGTTAACCCTTGAACCCTTATTTCAAGGTCGGTTATCAAAATTCGACACTCTTATCCTACAAGAATAAATAACCCATTCATACTAGGTAGATTCATTCAATTCCCTTATTTCTCCTTTCAAGTTCCCTTTTTTCTCTTTTTTTTTTTCCAAGATTGACTTGAGCATCGGAACATAAATGTTGAGAAACTTTTGGCATTTGCTTCTACCCAACCTCTGAATTTTTGATTTTAGGTTATTACCATCGTTGGACAACTCGGCACTTACATTTTTAATACTCAAATTAGATTACCTTTGTTTACTTGAGTTAATCATGGCACTTAGAAAGAGAGTCATTGAAGAAGGAAATATTGCTGCTGTAGCTAGAACTGATACCTAGCTTAGCCAACAAAACTCTAATCAATCTATACAAAGGGCTTAAATAATGGAATAGTTCGAAGTCCTCACATAACAACTACAATTTCTAAAAGAGATGATACAAAACCTAACTCTTTCATAAACCTCAAAAGAATCAAACCCTATAGCCCCAACAAACCCACCAACATAAAAATTGTCGACCTATAATGACAGCGTAGCTTCCTTGGCCCTTGAAGAAGATGAAACAACCCAGAGTCATTACCCCACCAATACCCAAACATAGACCACCATACAAAAATCTAAACAAGCCAATTTGGAACCATAACCAAGTAAAAATTTGGAAGCTCAAATGAATGCGATAGAGAAAGAATTGAAGAATAAAGTCTCTACCTTAAGTGATGAGCTTAAGTTTTTAAAAACATCTCTATTCAATAAGGATATCGATCAAACTCTACCACGAAAAGATTCAAGATGTCGACTTTGGAAACCTATGACGATACCACTAATCCCTTTAATCATCTTAAGATTTATACTATTATATTGATACAAGGAGCTAATGAGTCTCTTATGTGCAAAAGGCTTGCTATAACACTCAAGGGGGTAACTTGGTCATGGTACACCAACTTGGAACTAAAATCCATCTTTACTATTAGGCAGCTCAGATATTCTTTTTTGACCTATTTTATCTACAACTAGCAAACTAAAAAGACTATATTAAGTTTGATGTCCATCTATCAAGAAAGAAATAAATCTTTGAAAGAGTATGTCAAAGTTTTAATGTTGAAGCTCATTAAGTTAAATATTTAGAGCAAACTGTAGCTATGGTTACCTCGACAGGTGGGTTGAATGATAAAGAGTACCACTTCAAGATTACTTTTTTTGAAAGCCCTAAAAACTTTGGTCAATGTACTTTTAATCATAAAAAAATACATCAACATAAGAACTACCATGAAAATTAGTCGAGATGAGAAAGGTACATCCATTCACCTCTGTCATAAAAGAAGAAGAAAAAGCAACAATCTTTTAAAAAAAAAAAAATCTAACTGGTACCCTAAAGTAAGAAGCCCGACCAAAAAATACAATGATCACACTACACTAAATACCTTTTGAAAAAATTTTTGATACAAATAGAAAGAGACTTTGAGCTCAAATGGCCTAAGCCATTAAGGCAGAATAGCAAAAAAGACTCGACTAAAAAATATACTTTCTATAGGGATCATGGTCATAATACTGATAATTGTATTGACTTAGTAAATGAAATAGAAAACTCAATCTAAAAAGGTCAATTGAATAGATTTATGGATCACAAAAGACAAGGACAAGGAAAAAAAATTTCAGAGGTAAAGATAGAGGAAAGAAACTAAGAAGGAACCAAGATGAGAGAAAGAGAGGCAATGACTAAGGTAATACCAATCACAAGCTCGGTTAAAGAGATAAAAAAAAGAAATGATGTAGACAAAAGACTTATTACGGGTATTATTAACGTGATAATTGATGGGACCTTGGCATTAACTAGAAAGAAGTTTGATCATGTGAAAGTTATTGCAATATGGTCCACAGCCAAAAAATGAAAAAGTTGAAAGAATGAGCTAGTTTTTTTTAGCTCGGTAGGTTTAGAAAGAATCCAATTCTCATATGACGATACCATCGTTATACAAGCCATGGTATACAACCATATGGTGAAGAAGATTTTATTTAGCAATGAGAGTTTGATCGACATCCTCTATTATTTCACTATGTTGAGAATACGGATTACTGAAGAGATGTTGAAGCCTTTCACCACCATATTGATTAGTTTTAGAAATGAATAGGTGCTAGTATAAGGTATTATCATATTGCCAATCACATTAGGAACCAATTCGAAGATTGTCACTTTGGTCATTGAATTCATAATGACAGATGTCCCATCAGTAGATAACATGATTTTGAGACAATCGAACCAGTCTATTATGAAAATGATTAGGTTAGCTTCATACCTTAAAATCAAATTTCATACTCTTAATGGGGTAGGAGAGGTATAAGGAGACCAATCCATAATAAGACAATGTTAAGTAACCACAATGAAGAAAAAGACTAAAAAACATGTTAGGAGCTCAGTTAGAGCCGAGAAGATCCAAGTTAGAGATAGAACAAAGGTTAAGATTAGGGTAATGGAAGAAATAAAATAGGGTATTTAAGGTAAGAAGCATGAAACCAACCAGATTAAAAAAAATAAGAAACATTCTCTTAAGAACAAAGAACATGTTTTTAAGCTTATAATTTATAAATATTTTTTAATGCCAATTCGGCATTAAGATTATACAAGTAAATCTTTAAATCGAGCTCTTAAACCAATTTCATAAATGTACCAATAAATGACTTTATTCAAGCAAATCTCATACTTCCATCTTGATGCATGAATCTTTCAGTCAATTGAACAAATAAATTAAAAATGCAAACACTCATGTTGGTAATTGTCCTCTTCGTAGGAATCAATCTCAACCTGAGTAAGCAAAAAAAAATCATTGATCAAAGGCCTAAAATTGATCTCACTCAACCAAAACTAGCAAACTTGTGTTATTTTTTAAAAAATAATAAAAAATGTATATAAATAGGAGTCAAGCTTGACCAAAAAAGCAAAATTGGTACAATTATTAAGAAATAATGCTAACCTATTTCCATCAAATAATACCCTAAATTGATCCCTTAGTAATGGTTCACAAATTACATATCGACCTAAACATAAAATCAGTAAGGAAAAGAAAAGGTGTTTTGCCTTAGAGAGGTAGAAAGTCATTGAAGAAAAAGTTAGTAAACTACAAAAGGCTAGGTTCATTAGGGAAGCATATTACCCTAAATGGATAACCAATGTAGTAATGGTGAAAAAAACACAATGAAAAATAAAGAATGTTTATCGATTTCACCAACCT